AAAAAGTCTCCCAAGTAATCAAATCCTGTCTTATCGTGAGGGTCCAAAGGTTTCTTTGACAAATCATATGAATCAAACCAACTTTCTTCCAAAACTTTCAAGCGTTACATTGGTTTGTGACCTATATCAATCTCAAATCACGACATTCATAAACCAGTCTTTGGCTTTCTTGTTATTATATTGTGTTTTTTTTCACACATAATTTGTTGCACAGTCCTTCAATTGATCGCCGGTGCTTTCACTGCTACTTACTAGATATTCGTTGGCGTCCTTCCACTTTCTCTTTGATTTCCATAATAGTTTATCAATTTAAAAATATTGTTTTTATCACTTAAAATTGTCATAGTCTAAAATCTGACCGTATTAGATTAAAACTTTTTAGTACCGCTGAAAATTAGAAATATATCACTTTTTTTCATACAAGGATTGTATGCGTCTGTCTCATTTATGTTACACATTTTATCTGAAGAGCACAATTAAACAAGATAAAAGAAAAACACACGTGAAAGTTTGTCATTGATAAATCGTAAAACCCGCATGGTAAGACCGGTAAGACAGGTAATATTTAAAAAAATTGAGATTATGACAAATTTTCCATCAAAAAGACGTTTTCCCAATAACGAAATCTCTTGTCGTCGTTTGAAAGTTAGAACGGAGCCGAGTCTATTAACGTCTATTTCTATTAAACTTCTATTTTTATATTTATATTAAATTAAATCCGGTTACAAATAAATGCAAATAAAAAAAATCCTCTCTTTTTGTGGGTCGTCAAAATTGTGCATGTCATATGATTAGTTTTGACGACAACATATCCGGATTCGTAAAATAGAATCAGCCTACAAAAATCTCACCCGTCTATTAACTCGCCCAATAAAAACAGCAAAGCAATTATTTTGGTGTTTTCGATCATACGCAGTCGAAACGTAAACATTTGTTTTGTCAAATAAATGTTTGCTTTCCATTACCCGAACTGCATCCAGTCTTTTTAGACAATCGCGTAATAACTAAAAAATAAATAAAAAAGCGGATTTGTTTGGTATATATGCGTTATCGAAAAAGACATATATTTTAATAACTGTGGCGAGTAATTGTTTTGAATGGGTTTTCGACTTGGAGAAAAAACACTGATGATATTTGAACGTTTTTGAGTATTGATGGTCATTTTTTGTTGTTTTGTAAAAATATACCTAAAACCTAATTCTCTTAGAAAAAGTATAGTATGCAACAAGTTTATAAACTTTCATTTATTGTCGTAGTGTCGTTTATCAAACTTGTTCCAGAAAATACTATTGCTACCCTGGAATCCTGTTTTAAATTGATAATCATTTTTATCATTTTGAAATACCGATTAAAGAAATAATAAATAAATATCTATGGCCAGCATTAGATACGTATATTTTAATATATATATATATATATATATATATATATATATATATATATATATATATATATATATATATATATATATATATATATATATATATATATATATATATATATATATATATATATATGTATATGTATGTATGAATGTATATTATAATATATTAATGCAACAAGTTTAATAATGTACGCAACTGATTTTTTGGAGGTTTGATATTTTTTTAGATCAAGCAAGCAAACATGTGTGTAGGCCTGTATGTATCTTCGTGTTCAAGATAAAAAATTAAAACCCGTTTCCCTGCTCTGAACTTTCCTTTCTAAACCTGTGATATGATGGTTGTGCAATGATCGTGAAGAGTATATAAAACTAAACATTCTTATACAATAAGATATTTCTGTGTATCCCCAGGTGTAGTCTATTTTAATTATAGTAGGAATGATTTTAGTATCCTAGATCTTTTTTTTGGCTTACTATATCTGGTAAAGCGAGCGGTTTTCCAAAGTTATTATAATACTTGTAGAGTTAGCAGTACCCTGTTGCGGTATTTTGGATTTCTTCTGTTGCGAGCTTTGACATTATGACGTTTTTCGAATTTCAAACATTTTCTTTTGGAACTGAATCAAAAAATAAAGTGACACACAAATTCTGAACAAAATTTCTATGCTGTTGTCGGAAGTTTTTATTTTATCTACCCATTCAAAAGTAATTAACTGCAACATAGGCGCAGCAGTTGTAAATACATTGATAATTTTGATGAGAAAGCGGAAGCAATATGGATGCAAGCAACAAACACATATCTATAAAAATAGACATCAATGTTTTTTTTACAATCGAGCAAGAATTTTATGATTTTCGCACTGTTTAAGGTATCACAAATATACTTTTTGCTAGAGTGCAGAGAATACATTTAAATGATTACGAGTTTGATTTGAGAGTGACCTCGATAGTGACAAGTCTAAAATAGTATATTGCGTCAGAAAATTTCCAAACACTCTTTACAGACCAGCGTGACGTTTGTACACGAACCAGAGACTGCTACAACTTCACGAGTGTGCACAGTCAAATTTCTGCAACTTAGTCCTTCGTGCACTAGTTACAGAAATAAGTATTAGTTAGGGATTTCGCAATATGAAAGTTTATTTTAACCGCTTTGGTTATTTAATCAATTAAAGTTTTTGGTTTGCACAATTTCTATTATATCAACGATTTTTTTTGCAAATTGCAACTAGATAAAACTTTCAAAAAACTTTTTTTTTTTGGTCAGTCGGTAAGTCTAAGTCTAAGTCTGTATTAAAGTTGTAAGTGTGAACTCCATGACTGTACTCAACTAATGTTTACCCTAAATTATTTAAAATATTTAAGCCTTAATTTTTAAAACTTTAGTTTTTGCATTTTGGTCAAGCGACTCCTACCTCCATCGCATAGCAACATCTATAGAAAATTTTACTTAGCCACATTCAGCTTTTTTTAGGGTGGTACTGCCGGATTAAATTGATTTTGCACAAAAATGTCAATCTTCATCACGTGAACAATTTATAAATTAGATATCCAAGATTAATTCAACAACAACCGAAGCAAGATGCGGTTAAAATCTGCTGAAACATCTGACAGCTCTAAAGTATAACTAAAGTAACAAATTTCTTGTAATTTATTTCTATATTTTAGATAACTTTGATATGAATGTTTAAGGTATTGTTTTTTAAAATAAATTTTCATTAATTTTGTCGCTTTTTAAAAATAGGGAAGACTTGATACTTTACATAAACCTTTTTTATGTTAGGAAATTTTACTTTGCGCACTCGTGGAGTTGTAGCACTCTCTGGTTCGTGCACAAACCTCACGCTATTACGCAAAGAGGGTTTTGAAAATTTCTTAAACTTGCACTTGTCACTGTCGAGGTCACTCAGTTCAAACTCGTAATCATTGGAATGTCAAAGCATTCTCTGCGCTGTAGCAAAAAGTGTAATTTATCTGTGCAAAAATCATAACATACTTACATGATTGTAAAAAAATAGTATATTATGCTACAAGTGCGGTAAACGGCTTTTGAATCACGAGATTATTTGACACGAGTGACTTAAAAGTTTACCGAACTTGTTGCATACTATACTTTTTCTACGACCGTTAGTTTTTGGGTACATTTTCACAAAACAACAGGAATACATTCACTGACATGACCGTCAGAATTGACAAACCTGTGCGGTAAAATCCCGGAAATGTCCGAAGTAGCTCGGATCCGTAAGAAACGAAACTGATGTGGTAAAGTGACGCTTCCCGCACGCTAGATCGGTGTGTAATTAGGTATTTTACAGACGAGAGTAGAAAAACATATTTTATAGTTTTACAGATATAAGTTTGTTGTTTGCATCCATAGTTCTTCTGCTTTCTCATCAGTATTAAAAACGTGTTTACAACTGCTACGCTTATGTTGCAGTTAATTACTTTGGAGTGGGTAGATAGAATATATATAGAAGATAGAATAGAAGTTAAATCCCGCATAATTTTATTATTTATTTTTCTTCCGAAAATAGCAAAGAGCTTTTGTTTGAATTTCGAGTGTCAATTTAGTTTTTGATTCATTCCAAAAGAAAATTCGAAAAACATCATAATGTCGAAGTTGTCAACAGAAGAAATACAACAGACCGCAACAGTGTGCTGCTAACTCTACTAAGTATTAAAATATCTGTGATACATAATTTATTTAACTTTGCCGCATTCACTACTTATTTCGCTTGAATATTGAGTCTAACAATTTAAATTGTAGTTTGCAGTTGGCGGGTAGTTGAACATTTTAGGCAATATATTTACAAAAGTTTTGTCTAAAAGAGAATCATCATTCAAGATTGAGAGATGAACACCCTATTCGACTAACGGTTAACTAAAATTTTTCATCATCTGACATTATTGAATTCAATTGCAATTCAGGTTTTCAGTTTTCAAGTTTTACAGAGAAGAGGAATTCCACACGGCTCTCACGATAGTTTGTATACTTAACTGAAACTCAGTTCTAGTTAGTCTCTAACAACCGACGCAGGATAGATCCAGAAGATTTCTCAATAAAAATTGTTTAGAAATTAGAAGCAATAATCAACGACAAATTTGTTTTTATACTTAGACTAAGATGAACTGAAAAAAAAATTGTAAACTATCCAGTTAGTAACTAAGCCAACAGATATTATATTACACCTAAATTAAATCTTCATCTTGCATACCAATCGGCAAGTTTCTAAACCATCCAGGGATCATTGCTACTTTGCGGGAATTGGTTAATTTCTACATAATAACAGTGTCTTTAGTTACTTGCCAAATTAGCCGGTTAGTTTGAAATCTTGCCAACTAACCAAATTAACCGTAACATATATAACAAAAAGAAGAATTTAAACTTAACAAAAATTTATTTACGGATTGGATGAGGTGGTGTTACATTGTTCTTAAATTATTTTATCCCTTTCTCTATTTCTCCAATTTCTATTTCTTTTTATATTTATGGTAAGTTAAGGGTGTCCGCTGCATAAGTAGGTTATTTTATATCAATTGAGTTTGCTAATATATTGAATAATGTCGTACTACGCCATATGTCAACAAATAAAAACAAATAAACCATTAAACTTACCCATAAGTAGCCTTCGGTGACGAACCCTAACGCCAATATTCAGCAACGACTAACCGGAACTGACCAAAAACACGACGACAGGTCTGACCCAAACCATATCGTCTTCTATGCTCATCTCAGTGGCGTTTAGCAAAAAAAGCGATACGTCTCTAGCAGGGCGCGTAATAAACTGTGACGACCGCTCTGCTGGCGCCCGCCACACCCCAAAGAGCGTCAAGACGCCGACGCGGCGCCCCACCCCACGGACCGCGGTTGCCGCGCACACCCACCCCGCCCCGCGACGTTGACAGGCAAATGTGGTGGTCTGTTCAAAAAACAATGTAGTGTTCGATTTCAAAAATTCCTTACTAACTATATTTTGGCCGGTAATGAAAATTCAATCGACTAAAAGCGTGTCGGCAGAACTGTTTTAGGATTTTATCGCAGATCGATCGGGAAAGGGAAGTGTCCGAACAAAGTGAAACAAAGAGGAGCGGGAATACATTTTCAGCTAATATTTTTCCCTTCAATGAGAGTTGTTTGGGTTTAATTCTCTTAGTATGTTAAATTGGATTTCAAAAATACTGGGTGTGTCGAATAGAAGGATCAACCAGTTGATGAAGATTCATTGTTTGAAAATACAAAAAATTTTCTATAATACAGGACGTTAAACTGGCAGTTTTCCACATATTTTATTGAAATTTGAAATTGAAAAGTAACAATATAAGAAAACTTCCATTAACTTAAAACTACCCAAAACTACACTAATGGTAAAATTGATATCTCTGATCAGAAATATACTGAATTCAAAAGTCACAACTAACATAAAACAATTTTCAAAAAATAAAGAAAACAATAACTGGATTTCGTGATTTTGTTCGGAATGTTAGGCAGAATTGCACCGCGAACGGGACAAGGTCGGGTACCAATTTTATGCCATATTGAACTCGTATTTTTTGCATAAGTCGTCTAGATATTCTTTATGCAATGTTTGTTGAACTTTACCCGGCCATAATTCCTAATAGTTTTATAGTACGCATCTTTGTAATAAATGCAGATTAAGCCTTGAGAATGGGAATTACCACTCTACATAATAGAAAATGTTCAATCTAAAAAAATTTAATCATAAAAAGAATCGTAGCAGTTAAAATTTACTTTCATACTCCGAAATCTGTTGACTAATAGATATTTCTCTAACTACTGCATCGAAGTGGCTCGGATAGATGAGAAACGAAACTGACATGGTAAAGTAACGCTTCTCGCACGGTGTGTAATTAGGCAGTTTACAGACGGGAGTAGAAAAACATTATCTCTGTTTTGAGATTGGGATTATATTGTTGAATTGTTGTAAATAAATAAATACTGTTTTATAATTGCTTACAATATCTTAATAAACAATTTGGCCGAAATTGGTGTGCATGAAGATGTTTGGTTGATTTCCTACATTTCCTTTCGCTACCAGTTGTTGAGCATGAATGGTCATCGATCATCTTCCTACAATGTATCCTCCGGTACCCCAGGGTCTCACTGAGATCTTTATTTTTTATTATTTACGTTAATGGTGTCAAGAAGTGTGTTATGTTTGTGAATATACTCCTTTTTGCTGACAATACAAAAAGATATTGGGCCTTTGCACACATGATTATAATTTTAACAGCACTTTATCGAAGCAGGTACAAAAAATTAATGATATAGTGGTAATATACGATACAAAAATGACTCCCTAATCATATAGATTATATAAATATATAGGTAATGCAATAAACGGCCCGGCTCCATCGTTGCATTCTATAAAAATATTTTTAAGGTGTTTATATTCGATTAACTTTTGCCTCTGCCGTCTGGACACCTCAGTTGGATGTGTATAACAGAAGATTTGAGGCGATGCAAAACAAATTTCTAAGATATCTCGACTATCAACGTGTGGATTTTTTGAGAACCGCAATAACTAGGCTGCGATTAAAAAGAATCCAAAACTTTAGAACTTTAGAAATCACAACTTGTTTGACAACTGCTTTAATGGGACAAATATATAAAAACACTCTCCAATATATCAGAAAATGACAATTGCTATAGCTTTGATTTCCACTGTTATTCATATTAAAAGAAAGTTAAGGATTTGTCATGGACTACAATGTAATTCAGAAAGATCTAGAGTAATTAAACCTCATTCACTATGTAAAAGAACTACAGAGTGACACAACTAATACCTGGGCAACTTTCATTGATTGACACTGTTTTAATTGCAATATTCTCTCTTCTTATCGCAGACAAGTAGTACCACCCGGGTTTTGTTTATTATTCCCCAAAACTGAAATACATCCCCAGTGAGATGAGTATCCCGAGTGTAAAAAGGAGATATTTTTATTCTAGTAGAATAAAAATTAGGCATTACCTACATAGTGTTAGGTAACCTCCTCTTTTATTAAACATACATGGATGCATGACATCTGACGTTACGATTAATGGGTCAATAGTCCGATTGATCAAGTAATCAATATCTTACATTTTTTTCTCTTCTTTAGTGACATGCTGAACTGCTGTTCGCCAGTTCCCTGGTGTCACTCAAATTCAATAGTTTTGGTGGTTAACCCGACAATATTTTCTTTCCTGTTTTCTCCAAATTTGGAACTTTTCTATAAGTCGTGAGTGACAGATAATCACGACTGAATCAGCAGGAATATATTTTTGATTGCACCAAACCAATCTTCAGAAACACACGATTTCATGTCCTCTTCTCCAGAAATATTATCAAACCTTTTTTCGCTTCCAATATGGACAATCATTAGAATATATTCTTTTCCTGAAGACAATTTAATACACACCGATAGACCTTCCATGAAAGCTTGGCTGTTTATATTTTCGTCGTCACATTTTAAGTATAATCCACATCTCATCAAGATAAAAGATTTTCTTCCGATTTTTGTCGCCACCAAATAATTTCATTACTTTCCAATGAGAGTGCTTTACTGTTACGCTTTTCCGAGGCTAAATCCTTTTTGTGGGAAATAAAAGTTTTCTAGTTATCAGCGGCACATGATTATCAATCATGACCATTAAAATGTTTTCTAAGGTGGGTATTTCTTAAAAACAAAAGAGAGAACCTTTCGTCGAATTACACTTTGCTTGCGAGCTTCCATTTGAGCACATTTGTTGCATAAAAATTTACCAATGGAAATTCTCTTTAATTTCTTAAAATGATTAAAAAATAATCATCAATTAGATGTACAAAATTGATTTGATATCTTAAATCAATTTATAGTAAATTAACAATTACTTACTTCTAATGAACAACTTTATTTAATTAAACAAAATCATTAACTGGTCAAGTTAAAACTATCACGATATAATATTGTTTGTATTTTTTTAGGATTCAACATAGAGAATTCAACATTATTACCTTCAAATATAAAAAGATCATATTCAGCATTTTCACGCACGCACCTGAGGTCATATCCGGGCTTGGAACCATGCAATTTTGTTTATAATTTAACATGGACAAGTTCATTTACAAACCAATTTACAAACCGACCCAGGCCATTTCTTTGACTACATGAGAATGAAGAAAAAAACATTTGTTAATATTATAAACAAATGTTGGGAAAAACACAAATTACCGATGTAAACTGATTGAGCATCCAAACCGTACTAATCTCGGTTGTGATCTTCATACCATTGATTAGACCTTAGCATCACCCTATGGGCGGAGCAATGATCGCCGATGTTACCACACAAATATTGTATTGTATTGAATTGATTTTTTAGGGTGAGCGATTTTAGTTTGTAAATTGTAAATTTAGAATATCGTTAATTTGGGCTTGCCCTGTCGACATCCTTTTTTTCTTATATGTATTCTTTGCCGCGTGACCCTTAGAAAACTCGACATTTAAACCAATCAGCAAATGGCGGCGGCTATTTAAACGTATTTTTACAGAATCCCCGCCGTTCACTTAATTATCCCTCGGAGTGGAAATAACTCGGGCGCAATTAAATATAAGCGATAGTGGCTCTATCTGAAACGAGTCATTTGCGGAATGCCCTTCGAGTGGGTACCTACTATATCGATGAGGGAATCTGCGGTGGGAAACGGGAAACCTGCCCCGCCGTCGTCTTTCTCTTCTTTCCGTTTTGTGATTTCCCCAGAGTGGCATCGATTGAGAAATGCAACACCTACTGCGATGCTTTGCAATGTCGCCCGAATGTTGTTTTTTAGGCGAGCGACGCCTGCGACGCCACTCCTTCCGCAAGCCGCTAGTGTAGTTTTCTGGTCATTAAAAAACTTTGTTTATTAAAAGTTCGGTTCTGAGCTGCCTCGGAATTAAAAAGAACCGGGACTTGAAACTCGGCTTTTTGTTTTGCTTTTGCGCTCGTTGCGTCCGCCGTGGATGCCAAGATGCCTTCTAATTTTCGAAATTTGATTTGTTTCTTTTCAGTTAACGGCACTCCTTTTTCTGTAGAAATTGTTGTATGTGATACTGGATACAGGAAAAACCAATGCATTCTGTATCTGTTTCTGCAAAAATGCAGTTTTAAATGCGCTAAATGTACGGTGTCCCGAAATGTTAACCTAGTTTTTGTGATGGAAATGGATGGAATTAATGTGGGTGATATGTTTTCCAAACTGTGCGACCTGCCACACAGCTCGCAAACCAATGGAGTTATTGCGGACCAAGTTTCCGGACCATGTAATTTCTCGGTTTGGCGATCAAAGTTGACTACCAAGATCATGCGATCTAACGCCGATGGACTACTTTCTTTGGGGTTGCTTTAAAGAAAAGATGTATGTGAACAAGCAGCAGACCATTGAATGCCTAAAACAAGATATACGACGCACTATTGCTGAAATAGAACCAGAATGGCTAAATTAATCAAAATTATTCCTCGTCAAGGTGAAATATAAATATTTACTTTTATGTTTTTTCAATAATCAATCCGGCGCTCTTGCTAAAATACCCGTAAATTAAAATAATTTATTACGCTTCTCCGGAATTATTTGCTTCTACCTTACGTCGTTACCACCGCATATTTAGGCAACACTCCTCACCCCACACGTCCCTTACCTAAATGCCTATATTTGCATCAAAACTTATGTGGTCTCTTTTAATTGGAGTGTGGAGCGGAGAAAACCGCGTAGTCTATTTTTTGTATTTTGTGTAAAATC